ATCCAACGGTTAATAAGTCTACACAATTAATTTAAGGATTGTTTGGAATATAAATAAGATTAGGATTAAGTTAATAGCTATAGCTTGTACCCCAAGTAAATTTAATATATTCCGGATTTCCTTGGGGAATAAGGGCTCCTGATTCTATTATATTTGGAATGAGTTTTGGTGTATTAATTATCCTTGGATTGCAAGGATTCCTAATGACATTACTATGGGAAGATTCATTAGGGTTAAGTCCATATAAATATAAGGTTAAAGTCTCTGCTCACAACATATAGAAACTCATATGAACGTCTCATTAGTTTGAGTATAAAGGAGTGTTGAGTGTGCAGAAAACTTTGGTCAACTAACATATTATTCCGCAGGATTCCAATACAATTTCCACTGAAGGAGAAGTCCATGGTTGAGTCTATTTCGCACGGTTCTGTCAAAGATGGTTCATCTTTCCTACATGCCATGTTAACTTTAAGTACTTTATCAATTGAGCATAATTTATGGATTCTTTCAGGTTAGTGTTTTTAGTTGTTTATGAAATATATAAAGTCTAACATAATTGTGACAATGGATCGGATAGACTGTCTCTGTTTAGAATTTGAGATTTGTATGAGAAAACAAAAATAAAACTCAGAAGGGTTGAAAGTGATATGTCGGAGAAGAGAAGGCGATGTGGGAGAAGAGAAAGAGGGCCCAATTTTTGTTATTGATTTTTTTTTAACAAACGATATTATATATTTTTTGGGTTCAGGTAAGGAGGAGGCTGAGCCTCATAATAGGTTAACAATAATGTGGTTCAAATTTGTTTTTGGCGAGAATCGAACATAAGATTTTTCACTCACAAATGAAAAGAATGCCACTAAACTGTAGTGTGACCCCTTTTTGTTATTGTCAAGTTTGTTTTAGATTAGTTTTAACTTCAATTTTTTTTTTCTTTCTAATGACTAAGCATTTTGTTTTATTCACATAATGCAAAGTTGGCATCTACGTCATTAAAAATGTGGGCCTCATATTTGCCACGTCATCTTAGTTTCACAAATTATTTAATGGATGTAAGATCTTAACTTGGTATATGTCGCTATAATGCTTTAAAGCACAGAGGTCGAGAGTACGTTAATATCTCATGCAATTGGTTTACAAGGCTTTCTCTAATGCACATAAAAATGTACATTTAAATTACACATCTAAATAAGAGCCATTAGATCATTTACCTAATAGAATAAAAAAAAATGTTCACAATGATCCTGAAGATGACACATGGATTTTTTCCGAAGAAGACAAGAATGCCCTCATTAAATGGGCAGGACACACTAGGGGTGGGTTAAAAAACCGAAAACCAAACCGAAACGAAGCCGAAAAAAACCGAACCGAAACTACCAAACCGAATCTGGCTGGTTCGGTTTCGGTTTTTGAGGTCCGAAAACCGAACCAGACTGAATCGAACCAAAAAAAAAAAATCATATATAAATACTAAAAACATGTTGGCGTCAGGGTTTGAATCCCTTCCCTGCAGGTTGAAGTTAATTGCTCCAAGCCAACTTGACTGTAGGCTTTGAATTGTTATAATGGTACCAGTAAGTTATTTATAAGTTTCTTAAATTTAATGCTTTATAAAATTTCTTAACTTTACAAACCCTAGCCGTCTCACTCCCATCCTATTTCCCATTTCAAATCTCAAACACTCACTCTCTCTCTCCCCTCCACTTCTTCCTTTCTGCCTTTGCTTCCTCAGTTTGTCTCTCTCTCTCTCTCCTTCCTCTCTTCCTCCAAATCACTCTCTCTCCAGTCTCCAGTCTTCTTCTGTTCTCCTCCTCTTCTTCCAAACCATGATTTTCCCTCGCCCCTTTTGAATCGGAACCCCCTCCAAATTGGAAGATTCTAATCCGGATTTTCCGATCTCTCACATGTAATTTTCGAATCGAAACAAATATGATTTATGATTTTATATTGTGATTTACTGAATTAATAGACTATATGATTTATCAACGATTTCTCTTTTGTTCATAAATGTATTAGCAGCTCCTAGTTTGTTTCCCACTGTTTTTTCAGAAACCTTTGAAAATACAACCCTGGTTAATAATTGGTTTTGTAAATTCCATGAAACCAACAAATATTGGATTTGTATTTATAAATTATTATGTGCACAGCTAATGTCCATGTAAAATGGGTTTTTTTTTTAAATTATTTTGTTGGCATTTTGCATATTATAATCTTCCAATTTGGCAGCAGATGCATAGGTGTTGCTACGGCTGACGAGTGACGAGATGTTTGGGACTAAAAACAAACCCCCAAGGTAAAAATCTCCCTGGCTGGCTGCTATTTAGTTATACTGGGTTTACTTTCATGGAAAAATCAAAGAATTAACACATGCATGTGTTTTTTTCTCTGCGAGAGCTCTTGGATCCACAACAAGAAAGACGCACCGACACCCACTAATGTCAGATCCATGGCCGATCGTCCCAGTTCGTATTCATTTTATGCAGAAGTTTTTGCATCCTCAATCAATTGTTGCAAATTCGTTCTAGATTAAAAAAAATGCATGAAAAAAACAGAACCAGACTGAAATCGAACCGAACCGAAATTTCGGTTCGGTTTCATTTTGGCCAAAAACCGAACCGTTTCAAACCGAACCCAACCCTAGGACACACAAATACTCTCAGTCGCAGTTCAACATCCCTGGAGACTTGTGTAGTTGTCTACGACACCGCCAAGCTCATCTTTAATACATTCATGATTGAAGAACAACTCAAACAAGTAAGGAATCCTCTTCACTATCAATCAAGGATACTTACCTGATAGTTCCTTTCTCATCCATTTAAATGATTCACCTTGGCCAATCAGAAGTTACCGTGGGTAGGGCAAACCAAAATTCTATGACCGGCCACCTCCTATAAATACCTTATCTCTACCGTTCATTGGTATGCTTTTGACTACACATACAAGCCTTAACACTTACTTTTATCAAAGATATTGACTTAGGCAGAAGATCCATAGCTAATCAACAACCCCTCACCCCCCCCCCCCAAAAAAAAAAAACCGTAATATATATAATATACAATTGGACACGAGTGAGTATATATACAATCGGTGTTGTAAATTATATAAATGTTGTGATTGATGTTTGAGTTCTTTCTTTAAATTATTAAAAAATAAGTTTAACCATCAACTGTCACTTTGTGTGGCAAAAAAAATATAGTTTTCCTAACATTCTTCTAATATAATATATATGCAAAATATTGCATATGTTGTGTTGGTGGAGCTATTTCATGTGTTATAATACAAAGGAAAGGACACAATTTTTTTTTTCTCTACTTGTATTATGATATGTAGAATACCTCTTAAATACTGGGCATGTGAAAATTTTCCAAGTGTTGGCAGGGCATAAACTAGAGAAATTAAGAAGGGTAAAATGTCATTTGACCCCTTGAACTATTTTTTTGGTAAATTTACCCCTGAACTATTTGAAATCAGCCAATTGACCCCTTATCGGTAGATTCCAACTACTATTTTGTCAAATTCAAAGGAAAATTAGTCTTTCCTTTATCAATTCTTAATTGTCAACTATAACTACCAATGAACTTATAACATTTGAAAACAAAATAATGTGTAATGATAATGTGAGATGGTCCGTTATGTAAACATTTAGATTTTTTTTTTAATTTTTTATGTTTTCTCATTATATATGCTATATGTTTTTGAATTATTCTGTGTTCATGTGTCAAAATTTTATTGGTGGTCATAGCTGATAAGAAACAATTGATGATAAAATGACTAATTTGCTCTTGAATTTGACGAAATTGATTCTGTAATCTAACGGCAAAGAGTTAATTGACTGATTTTAAATAGTTCAAGGGATTAATTTACCAAAAAAAGAATTTAAGAGCTCAATTTCAATTAAGGTAATAGTTTAAAAAAAAAAACTAACGAAAAGTTCAAAAAAAACTTCATTTTTAATGAAAAGTCATTTTTAAAGGTATAGTGAATAGTACCAGGGAAATGTATAAATGTGATTTTTCGTTAAAAGTGAACAGTACTGAGAGTGTTTTGTTAAACCTCTCTAGTTTAAAAGATCTAACCGCAATTTACCCAATTTGGAAATTAAGATGAGGACGCATGGTTGGTTGGTTGGTGGAGACTCGGACTTGAGAGCGGGGGAGAAGAGAGTACTTGTCTGTGTCTGCCCCTGGAAGCAACCGACAATGGGGAGGCATGACAATCCATCAGTGTGACTGTGAGTGCAAGAGATGTAACAAACGGTAGAGGACGAGACACGTGGCTGACATGCAGAATAAGAGGAGCCAACCAAGTATCTTTTACAATTGCTAGCCTAGCTAGCCTAGATTAGAAGAAGAAGAAGAATATACCTTTACCTTAGTGGGGGAAAGCATCATGGTTGAAGAGGAAATAGGAAACCGGGAATCAATTAATTAATTAACGGGATCTTGCTTTATTTTCTTTCATTTCAATTTCAACGGAGAAATGAATATGTTTAACCAAAAAATAAAAAAATAAAAAAAAGAACCGGAGGAATGAATATATATAATATATAGTACTTAAGCTAGGCAGAGGCGACTTAATCAAGGATTTGGATCCGTTCTAGATCTTAATGTTTGAAACTTAAAGATTAAGTAATTTGGACCATACAAATTGAATCTGATGATTTCCAAACTCATTATGCTGACTCACCCCACACAAACCAACAACTTCGATCTCTTTTCCACACAGATGAGTGGCTTGAATTGCTTGATCTTTAGATTCCGAACACTAAGGTCCGGAGGGGATCAATTCCCTTAAGCAGTAAGAGAAATCAGCAAGATGTGATGATCTGGTCCCACGCGATGGGCATGATGTTTCAGGAGGAGCACTCTTTTGAGCTTTTCTTGACTTTGTTTCTTTAAGGCCTTCTCACTTCCCACTTGCAATCTTCTTGCATATATCGCATGCTTTTTTGTAATTATTTAGTTCAATTCTAATTTGAATAATTCAATCACAGTTAGAGCACTAATTCCATAGACTTTGGCCTGCGCGCGCTCCATCGCCAGAAGAGACCGGTTGATCCCGCTTTTTCTATCATTATTTATAATTCAAGCACTTTATCATATATCACATATAATGCATATATATCACATAATGCATGTCTTATGAATAATGCGCTTTTCATACATTACCCTGTTGACTAATCCCAACCAATCCCAGACACACTGCAGACACTCTCTCTCTCTCCCGTTGGTGTCTCACAGTCACAGCAGTACTTGTTCTAGTTAGTAAGCTTAGCTAGCTAACAGAAACCCCTAATTATCAGTCGTCCCTCAGACACTTCCTTCCCCCCCCCCCCCCCCCCCCGGCGGCCCCCCCTCTCTCTCTCTCTCTCTCTCTCTCTTTCTCTCTCGGGATTATATGCATGACATGTATATTACCCTATTCTCTATATTTCACGTTGCTGCATCTCGTTGGCTAGTACTTAGAGTGGCTTCCCATCAGAAGTTATTCAATACTGGATTTTCTAATTTGGCTGCTCAGCTATACAGTCGCTCTCTCCAATCCGGTCCACTCGATCACTTGGAGCTATTTGAAGGTAATTAAATTACTTTGCATCTTTTCCGATCGACTGTATAAATTAGCTGCTGTTGCTGCCTTGGAATTCAACAACGTTCCTTCAGCTCGATTGTTTACTTGCGGTACGTACCTTCTTTTGATCATTATATTTCTTAATTACTGTTCATTGGGAATAATATTGGCCTGTATATATATCAGTTGCTAAGTCGTCCTAGTCCCAGTTAGTACCCAATATTGTTAATGATATATATGCTATTTAGTATAAATAGAGGGAAATTGGAGTGTGATTATTTGACTTGCATAAAACTTAATCATCTAGCTTGCAAGTTAACTCTATCCTGATATAATTAACTTCAAAAGTTTATGCGTATATGTATATGTATTATATATACATATATAGGTAAATAACTTGGTTGTCTTTCCATTCTGTTATTCAGCAATGAAAGAAAGATTTTGCCCTACTTTGCTAAAGGATAAATATATAATGTCCAAAGGAGACTGTAAGACAGGAGAGCTTTAACAATTATTTACAAGTCAGCCAAAAAGTTGCCAAAATTTTTTTGAATTCGAATTGAATATATGGACAAATAGAAATGAACAAAACCATCTTACATATATGGAGCTCGTGGAGGGGCTCTTTATCAATGTCAAAAGTGAGTGCGTCCCTAAATAGCTAAATGGTCTCCACCCTCCAGTATGTACATATTCGTATGTATAAATATACACACATACAACTTGAGAGGCCATGCGCACTCATATATTATAGTTTATATGTATCGACGTCAAAAGGTTATATGAGCAGAGAGTACATTGTTTATGGTGTTCTAGCTAAGTTGTTCTAGCTAATCTACCTTTAATTAACAAACGTTTCTTCCGATCGATGCTTCTCTTTTCTGCTATATATATGAACTAATATTGAATCTTTTTATATAAAAATGTTTGTATTATTCCTTCTGGCCTGCTAATTGGAAGAAAAATATAGGAGTACTGCGTGTTGTGCTGCATTAGCAGTATATATATGGTTCCTCTTTCAAGGATAGATATTCAGACCAAAAGTAGTTTTAACAGTATCAGCTAGCTAGCTAGGTCATGCGATGCGAGTCATGAGTCTGGGGCTTGGGTTGGGTTGGATCAGATATCAAACTGTCAGAAATTGGCACACACAAGGCTATATACAAGTGAAACAACTTAATATATATCCTGCTTGCTCGCTGTACTGCATATAGCAAATTATTCATATACGTCTTGTCAGTTATCTGTCGTCAGTGTCTAGTCCATGTGGCCGTGTCTCACTTCTTATAATTAAATGACTTTCAACCACAATTATTAATCCAACTCGTCCACTAATACAAATACATCCATGGACGGTGTAACTTCCAAATTAAACAAGTTTATACATACAAAATATTTAAAAAATGATTTGCATGGCATCCTTAGTTCTTGTGGCAACACAGGAAAGTTGAATTAGAGTAGTTTGAAAGTTCACATATGCACTACTAATCGAGTCTGACTATTCTTAGAGTAAAAATCAATTCCACGTGTTATTAAGGGCCATAAACTCTACTACTTCACAACTTAATTCATATTCTTAAATTTCTGTAATTAAGGGCCATAAATTCTACTACTTCACAACTTAATTCATATTCTTAATTCATATATATATAGCTAGAGATGGAATTTCCATGATAATATCTTAATTTGTGGATTTTGACGATTCAAACTTGCATCCTCGTTCAGCTTCTGAGACAATCAAAACCAGCCTCCTACTTTCATAATTTGCAACCATCTACATGCTAATTATTACTAATTAGTTAATGTTTCAGCTTCATTAACAAGATATTTATGTTATTTTTGGTATAAAATTTGTGTAAATAATGGAGATATAATTCGATCAGACAAATAGCTTTGGTCTGTCTGGTGAATTTCTAGCTAGCTAGTCAATTAAAATCTCCCTGCCATATAGCCTTTGCGATTTACAGTTTGGTTCCCTTAATTTGGAAAATTATATCACGCCTGAATAGATACTTTTCCCAAAATGCATTTCCCATATATATTTCTTCTTTTCACATATATACAGCATTCTCTTAGGCTTATAGGTAGTGAAGCGAATGATTTAGTTTAGTTCTGAAATTGAACTAATCTCTTTCAGAAATCATCCAAAGGGGTGTATTGCTGCACAAGTATTTTGAAGGGAGAACCTGTTATCATCTCTTGTAAAAGCAAAGTACTAATCTGAAAATGAAGTTTATGAAAATTGGAACCAAGCCGGACACCTTCTACGCTGAAGAAGCTACCAGGTACTAGCTATGACTTGTTCCCCACCTTTGTTCCATAGATCAGATTGAATGGTTATGCATAGAATCAATTTCCTCACGCGTACGTCCTCACAGCTCACGTTCATAATGAAATTGTTACTTTGTGCACTTCGGTTTTAATTAAACTAATTTGTTGATTTGTAAGCTGTCCTCACAACAATTTTATTTCGGCTGATTTTGCATTCACTGTGTGCAGGACCGTGATTTCGGATGCACCCAGCGACTTTGTCATAGAAATTAACAACATCAATTATCTTCTCCATACGGTATGAACTCATCATTTACAAGGAATAATGTTTTGTGGAAATGCACCAATTTCATTTTCTCGTGCAGTCACGGATGTGCAATTTTTCTGCTGATCAGTACTTCCTCCGCATCCCTGTTTAGAATTTTTCAGTGTTTTTAAAGCAAAAAAAAAAAAAAGTTCTTCAGTGCGTGATAGTAGTACTGGAGAAATGAAGGAAAGGAAAAACATTGAATAAGAATGAACATTTCACTATTTCTCCCAATTTTGTAAAATCATACAGCAAACTAATACAGCTAGCACTTCTTCTGCATGTACACATTGATGTGCTTGCTCTTGGTCAAGGGATAATTGTGCTTTTGTTTGCTGCAGTTTCCACTTCTTCCAAAATGTGGCCTCTTACAACGGCTTTGCTCTCACTCTGGTGATTCGGAAAAGGTCAGCATAGAGCTTCACGATATTCCAGGAGGTGAAGATGCGTTCGAAATGTGTGCTAAGTTCTGTTACGGAATTACGATTAATCTCAGCGCCTATAACTTTGTACCTGCATTTTGTGCTGCTAAGTTCCTCCGAATGACTGAGTCAGTAGAGAAGGGAAATTTTGTTCCGAAACTTGAGGCTTTCTTCAATTCATGCATTCTTGAAGGTTGGAAAGACTCTATTACTGCACTACAAACTACAATGAAGTTTCCTGAGTGGTCTGAGAATCTTGGGATCATCAGAAAGTGCATTGATTCAATTGTTGAGAAAATCCATACTCCTCCAGCAAAGGTCGCATAATGCTCACCTAAAAGTTTATTATTCTTCTTCTGTCAGCAATCGGTTTATTTTATTCTTCCTTATTGATTTGCTCAAACTAAGAAAGGTTAGTCAATCTTAATTTGCAGGTTTCATGGTCCTACACTTATACCAGGCCTGGCTACACCAAAAAGCAACATCATTCTGTCCCAAAGGATTGGTGGACTGAGGATATATCAGACCTTGATGTAGACCTGTTTCGATGTATAATTACTGCTGTTAGATCCACGTATATGCTGCCACCGCAGCTCATTGGGGAAGCTTTGCACGTCTATGCTTGTTGTTGGCTGCCAGACACCACAAGAACACCTCCACAAACAGGTGAGGAATTTATGGAAAAGAATCGAAGAATTGTTGATAGCATTGTGAGCATGATTCCCGAAGACAAGGGAGCAGTTTATGTTGGTTTCTTGCTAAGGCTTATTGTCATTGCCAATTACTTGGGAGTGTCCCCAGTGACAAAGACAGAATTGTTAAGGAGGTCCGGTCTACAACTCGAAGAGGCAACGGTGGATGACCTGATTTTTCCTTCACACTCTCCCGCTGACCCAGAATTTTACGATATTGACTTGGTTTTGGCAGTGTTAGAAAGTTTCTTGGTGCTATCGAGAAGACAATCCCCTACAGCTGCTTCTGAATTGAACAGAAGCGCTCAGGTTTTAGGAACAATGAGAAAGGTTGGGAAACTCATTGATTCGTACCTTCAAGTCGTTGCCAAGGATGTCAACATGCCAGTTTCAAAAGTGGTATCACTGGCTGAAGCTTTGCCAGATATTGCAAGGGAAGACCATGACGGCATCTACAAGGCTATTAACATTTATCTGAAGGTATGTAAGTAGGCCGGACCATGGCCGCGACAAAGGCAAATATAAGAAGTGAATGTCATAGCCATTTAGAAACCATAAGTATAGTTAATTACTAAATGCTGGTTGACTAATTCATTGATGAAACATATGTGTTAATAAGCAGGAGCATGGGGATCTGAGCAAGGCAGACAAGAAGCGCCTGTGCCGCATTTTAGACTGCCAGAAGTTGTCGCCTGAGGTACGTGCTCATGCTGTGAAAAATGAGCGGCTACCATTGAGGATTGTTGTGCAAGTCCTCTTCTTTGAACAGGAGAGAGACAGAGATTCCAACTCCAAGACAGCAGCAGCAACTCCTGATCGTCGTAAACATAAACCACTGCCAGTTACACCCTCCCAGTCCCAGGAGCCGGGGAAACAAACAGTGCCAGCTAGCAGAGAATCAAATAGTCATAGTCATGATGAGGTAAAATTTGGAGCAGCAAATGTTCATAATAAATTCAGTAGTAGTACCACTGGAAAGAGAGATTATGCGCTGCTGCTAATGCAAAACAAAAGATCAGACGGAATGTTAGCAGTGGAAAACGAAAGAAAGGGTGTCAGATCAGAAACGCAACAAGTAGATCATCAAGGACATGATACCAAAAGGGAAATCCTAAGAGAAGGAGCATCTGGATCTGCAGGAGCAGGGAGCAAGTTGGACGCTAAGAAGATGATCCAAAGGGGAAGTAGGCCGGACCATGGCCGCGACAAAGGCAAAGATAGGTAGCAAAAACGTACACGAACATCTATCATCCTCGTACCCATTGCACTTCTAACTTCTTGTAATTAAGTTTTTCTTTTTGTTTATTCCTTATTCCTCTGGAATTGGAGAAAATGTTTCAGTTCTGAACAATGTTATCTTATGATGAGTACTCTCCACCATTTGTGTCATACTCTGAACTTAAAGGTGGGAACTTCTTGCAAACAACTTTAAAACCATGCAACTCTTCTATTTCGTAATACGGTCTACCGGTATTCATCAACACTTGTAAGTGAGAGGTTTAAGGTTTGATTCTCGAGAAAGACGGGTTCAAACTAAATTCTTATAGCTAGCCTATTGTGGAATTTAACCAACTTCATTCGCCTCTTACCATAGATAATATCGAATGATTTTAATTTTCATTCTTTCTTTTTTTTTTTTTTTTTTTTTTGTCAATATACATGCCTTTATTTCAATTGAAATGTTCGTGTCAACGCCATCTGGATTATAAGAAATTTTTTATTGTGCTAAAAACATAGTCCGGTACATTGATAGAGATTTTACCACACACGCAAACAGGTTAAAAACTCCTATATTACTTGCAAGAATGACAAGGTTGTTATAATATAAACGGTTCTCGTAAGGTCGTTTTCCACATGAATTATTAAATAATTCGAAACAAACCAAATTCCAATTAATTATTGTAAAGCAGAAAGTTGAGATGATTGATTTATAACCTATTTAAATTAAAACGAATTTAATTAATAAAAATAAACTAATCTGCAATATTAAAGATGAAGGGGAAAGAAAACTGCTTTGGAAAAAATCAAATTAAGAAACAACTAGGTTCCACCATCACCTAGCAATCTTATATATTTTTACCAATTACTTATGATCTACACATGCCACTTTGAAGGTTAGGTTTTCCTAATTTATATTCTACTTTGAACCTCCAACATAGAACGTATATCTAACATGCAACCCGTCCAGACGTTCGGATCAAATCTGAACATGAGAGACTCATTATGCTTTATGAAAACCCCTTGAAAAATCATGCAACCCTTAAGACGTGGTGTTCATTTTAAGTGAAATTACAATTATTAATCACAAGAAACCATCGCCAATTTCAGGGAACCTTCCAACCAAAATTGCATCAAATTAGTTTTCTAAAGATCCTAATGATGATCAAGCATTAAAACAATTAGATAGTTTTGATCACGGTGTTTAATAATTCAAAGTGTACATGCAATCAATCATAAGCAATTAAATAAAAATTACATATTCATGCTAAGACTCAAGGCTTCACCCTAGCAAAAGGAATTAGTTACGCATATTCATAATTGAAATCATAGAAAATATTATTAAGAATAAAAAGAATGAAAACACCTTAAAGTAGAAAATCTCCAAGAATGCTAGCAATTACTCTCTGTCTTCAAAGTTGCATAAAAGAAAGCGTAGCAAAGACTAGAACCGGCCAAACCTTTTTAATATCCCCCTAAAGCCAGCGCACAAACCCTAACAACAAAGTATTTTATTCCCACTAAGAAACTAAATAATAATAAAATAAAATAGAAAACAAAGTCCTAATTAAACTAGGAGAATCTGCCAAGTATTTGTCCAGCCACGTTTTAGCCTCAGACATCCTCTAAATCCGGCCCATAATAGCTTGTTTTGAAGATTAGGACGTTCTGAACAAATCTCCAGAAGGCCATGAACCCATTTAAGGTCATTTTGGACTCCAAAAACGTCATTCAAGCCCAAAACATTATTATTCCAGCACTGCGCATTGCTTCTTTATTTTATTGCCTAGAAAATCATTGTTTGGTAGAAAATTTTGATATTTTGATACGATCAAGCTAAGTGACTCATGATCATCCTCCAACTGAAATTTCTCCAAAATTCGTCCATTTGACCATGTTTTGCTCTAGAAGAAGTCAAAAGTCCTATATTGGAAATACAATTCAAAGTATCAAAATTCTTCCAAAATATTAACCGAAATATACTAAGAATAGGGTAAAATATATAATATGAAATTGACTCATCATACACCAAGTGTCATAACAGAACTAGTTGATTTTTTTTAAGTTTTCAACTAATTATATCATTATACTTGTTGTAGTGAGCCGTCTGCCGAAAAAAAAAATCTCTCCATAATTACAAGAGGGGCTTAAAATAAAATAAATAGGAGTGAAATGACAGTTGTCTCATTTGAAGAGGGGTAGGTTCAGTATAGTAACCGTACCCAAACTCTCGTACCAATTATTGTACCAAACTTTCAGTTTGACAAAATCTATTACCATTACCATACTAGACTTTTGATATATAGAAGTTCAGTATTACTAAATAGTTCGGTTGGCATTGTATGGCAACGGTAATTGTCACTTTGTTTTGGGACAAAATTTATTTTTGTTTTTTTAACCCAATTCAAGGGCGAAACTTTTTTTTTTTTTTTGTACCTTTATCTCATACATTGTAGCCTAAATTCATCTATTATTCATCATTCATAATTCACACACACAATAATTCAAATGATGCATCAAGATTCATGATGAAAATTAAGCTTACAATCCAAATAGAAGTTACAAACCAAAACAAAAGGAAGTTAACAATCCAAATAGAAGTTAAAGTTTCAAACCAAATGAAAATTGGAACTAAACTTCAAAAAGTAAAATTCATTGATAAATTCTTCAAGTTTGAGATGTCGAAGCTTTTGAAGGAGGCATTGAACTCGTAGAAGAATGAGATTGTGTCAAGCCTATATTACAAACAAAGAAAACATATTAGTAGCAAGAAGAATTAAAGTTGAAAACCATTTAATAACAAATTTACTAAAAAATTTTAAAGCATATCTTACTTATTTCCACTTCTTTCATTTCCTTGTAAAATTGAAGCATATCTTCCATTGGTTCTTTGTAGAAGTTTACTTCATCCGCCCTAAGTCAATCACTAGTACACACTAGTGCCTCTATCATTTTAGGAGTCAATGATGCCCTAAAAGGCTAAAAGAGTCCACAACCCTCCTCCCTAGGCTAAATGCATTTTCACTAACAACGGTAGAAGTGGGGATTGCAAAGATATCCTAGACTATTTGTGAAAGAATTAGGAACTTTTTTGTGTTTGATTTCCACCAACTCAAGAGATCAAAGTCACCACCAACAATGCTAATATAAGTAGGGTTTTATTTTCAAATTATATATATATATATATATATTATTTATATATTATATTATATTTTCGATACGGGACAGTAATATCGTAGTAATGGTATCCATTGCCAATACCGTATCATGAAATTTTGGTACGATATAATATCGTACCATTACCATTGGTAAAAAATCGGTATGGCACGGTTGGCAATTCGATTGGCACAGCAATCGATACGCTACTTACGTCTGGCTTTTGCTAAAGACACAATGCAGGGTGAAAACCAGGTAATAAGACCATCTCCAACCGACCCAACCAAATGGTCATAGGCTAAAAATAACTCGAAATGACACAAAAACGATCTCCAACCGAGGGCTAAGCCAAAGGGCTTGTAGGCCTGATAAGCTCATATTTATATATATATTTTATATCAAATTCACTTGTCTTTTCTTAGTTAGTTCCTTATATTTTTGAGTTATTTACTTTGTTTTTTGTGTTTTGTAGGATTTGTCAAGTAAAGAAAAGAAAAATAACACAAGTGGAATTTTAAGTAATAAATTCGTCAAAACTGCCTGTGCAGGTCAGCTGACTTTGGAAGCAATTTGCGGACAGCTCAGAATGAATTAGAGAATGAGCCTTATATGCTTGGAAAGCTACAGATGTCTATTTTCTGGAGCATTTTGCAGATTGTTAATATCATTTTTCTAGAAAAAGTTATGGCTGTTCTAACACTGAAAGGTTCCCAGGAGGCTGAGCAGTTTGTAACTAATAAGAAAGCATTGAAAGCAATAAATCCCATAAAACTAACAGCCAAAACTGATGCAGCCAAGAACAAGCCAGCTAACACCTATTCAAATATCAGAGGAAATGAAAAATTAAGTGAGAGTAATGGGCATAAAGGCTGCCCAAAGAGTTACAATTGTTTTAGCATTTCCTCCCACTTATTGTCATCACTAAATGGCTGTTAGTGGGGTGAGTTATGGAGAAAAAAACTGTGGCAGCAGAAAATGAGAAAAGACCTACAGGTTGCAGGAAAAAAAGAGGAGAAAAAGTGTGAAAAAATAGAGAGAAAAAAAAGAAGGAAAGCAAGGAAAAAAGGCAAGGCTGCTGCGTTGGGGAAGGAAGGAAAGGAAGGAGGAAATCTTGGCATTCTCTTCTCTCGGTTTTATCTTCTCAAACTCATGTCTTTCTTTTGGTTTAATTTGAGAATTATTTGTAACTAATTTTTAGTAGTTAGGAGCTTTTTTGAAGCCCCGAATATGATTGCAAGCTTGTTATGACATTTCGTTTGAATTACTTTTACGAATGGATGAAAATTGGTTCACTACTTGTCTCATTGATGAATTCTTTATGTGTTTTCTATGGATGCATACTTAGTAAGCATATCTAGGATTCTAATGCTATGAATATGTGTGTGTCTGCCCTTGTCGAATGAGGACCTACATATGTTCTAGAGTAGTACTTGTTAATTGCAATTAACATGTGAATCAATTTCTAGGATAAGTAAGACAACGCTAGTACTTACGATGCCTTGTGATGACTCAAACTCTTTTCGTTCTTAATGATTTCTACTTGTTAAATCTATGAACACACCATTCGAGATTGCATGTTAGGGACTAAGTTAAGTTGAAAACGTCATTCTCTTAACATACTACATAAGAAAGAGTAATAGGTTGAGTTCTAACATTGAGCCAACTTGAGCATCTTCATCCAAAAATGAAAGGAATTTGAATGAAACATAACATGTTTGCATGATTATTTGGTGGTGGATAGCAATTCCCCTAACTCGTTTTTCTTAATTTGCGAACTACTCAAAAATCTGTCTCTGTTCTGTTTTTGTTCGATTTAATTTAAATAGCAAATCAACTCCAAAAATCCCAAAAATTTGTGTGAGTGTAGCTCTGTGTGTCTAGTATCTGCATATAAAATTTCGTAGACTTTAGATAAGTGTAAGTCAGTCTAATAATTATTTTTCGGTGGCTGGTCAGTAGGGACAGCAGCCCAGTTTTTGTGACATTTTAAGTAGTTAGATAAAACAATCTTCTGC